AACAAATCGCCACTGGATGCAATTGTTGCTTCAATAAAGACATGAATCCGGGCTTTGACTCATGAACTAAGTGTATTAGTCTCTTAGGGATGCCATACTCTGGGGAAACACAGGCGACTAAGTAGAACAAACACCACAGAGTCACCCCCCAACCATGGAGCAAAGAAGCTGGAGGATTTCTGTACCAATGATGATCAATCATTGGTTAAGGCCCATTCCAAATGGTGTTAATAATCCCCACTTCCAGCCTGCTGTGCCTGTGGACAATGGGCATGCATACCAGAGAAAACCTTCAGGCAAAGACATGTCCTGCCAGTTCTGCAATCATAAGGCCTGAGGGGATCTGTCTGCTACAATGAGACATTAGGTATTAGTCATTCTACTAGTAGCTTTCAGAGCACTGGTCATGCTGTTTTTGACCAAGGGGTTCTGGGGCCAAACAATTATAAGGAATGCTCAGTAGAGGGTTGTCCTTGGGGATTTTCCACTAAAGCTCTATTGATGTCTGCAGTTGAGATGCCTTTCTAATCCTGTGATTTCCAGACTTACCATAGAAAGACCTTTCTAATACAATATGTAAACTTTTAAGGAATGAAAGGTCTCTGATACATGCTTTGGAGATTATCAGTTCTGGCTACTAGAGATGTGACTGTCAAGTAAAGGTGTTTTTAATCTGTTCACCACTGTAGCCCCAGAACAGTGTCTGGCACAGAGAAAGTTTTCAATCAACGTTGTTGGTGCAACAGAGTCTTACAGCGATTTCAAAAAAGCATCTGAAAAATATGTTCAGTAAAAGCAGTCTCATGAAAAAATAACTGCTTAATCCCCAAAATGACTGTTTTGAAAGACTTTGAAAGAAAATTCAGTTGAATATACATACACTTGTTGAAATATTGGCCAAAACATATCTTATTCTCCTGGCTTTGTTCCCATTCATCTAGATGAAAGAGTAGACTTCTCTATAAAATGAGGACTATGCTTTCAGAATTTGTCTACTTCATAGGGGAAGAACCACTTCCTCCCCATATCCATGTGAGCATGCAGATCATGGACTTAATGGGACTAATGTCCCTCTGGTCCAACTTTGCTAAAAAGAGTGTTCCAACTTCTATTTCCTCCCCCTATATGTCACTCTCGTTGAATGCTAAGGATTGCAGCTGTGACCCCACTAAGGGGTGAAAATAATCAAATTAGAGGACTTCTGACAAGCACATCCCCTTTATCTTGTTGCCAAGTACAGCTAGTTATATATTTGTTGGCCTCAAATGTCAGCTGGGACCAGGGTGAGTCCTTGTCATTCTTTCTCATCCTGTCAAGACCTAAAGCCTTCATGAACCTGATGCAGTTGCTTCAGCTGCAACAAAGCATATAGAAGTGGGATTTGCAAACAAATAGGCTTTTCTCTATAGATGCTGCTCCATCTGGGCATCCCTACTATTTTTTCCCAACAGTTGTAAGATTGGCAGCATCACTGTTATCGATCACGATTATAAGGAAAGGTTTCAAACCCTAATTATCACTCATTCTTTGGAGCTGAGATGGAGGCCTGGGGGCTGTAAAATAAGTTTAATTGCCTGCTTGATTATTCATTTGTATATCTAGTTGCCCGCTTCTTAATAAGGAATATTTCCTGTGCAATTGCTTACCTTCCTAGAATTTGTAGAAGGCAGGAGCTAGAGCACAGTAGCATTCTCTTCACACCCTACAAGTGGAAATGCTGGCATTTCTAGGTAAGAGTGAGGAAAGAACTGTGACCATCCAGATTCTCACTGGTTAAGTCTTCCTTGATTTTCCTTGAAGACTTGTCTGGGAAGACAGTCTGTAAAGACAATCTACCCACACCTAATAACCCAGTGAGTGGGTTATTGCAGTGCTGAGAGGGTTGTTGAGGTCACTTGGAGCCATACAAGTAGATAACCAATGTGAATGAAACACAATAACAATGGGCAGAAGTATTTCTGCCCAGGTTTATTTCAGAAACGAGGTATGTTGCCTCTCTTTGGTCTGATGTTGACCGGGCAAGTGCTTTCTGGTGGCCCTCATCTTGTCCTATATTTATTGGTCTTCTTCAGTCCTCCTTGCTGAAAAACCCCTAGAGAGAAACTAGAGTCTTCTAATGCTGTTTGTTTTCTGTTTCCTCTGTGTTTTGGTTCACCTCAAGTTCAAGAATAATGTCTACATTTTTCTAGGAAATGGTAGCTTTCACGATCTGTGAATGGGGAGGGAGAAGGGATAATGATTTGTCTACAGAACAAGAGCAACTGGCAAGTTCTTAATGAGCAGGGTGGAAAGGATGAGGAGTTTGGATTCAGAAATGGCTATAGGATGGAATACTAATTCCTTTATCTCCTGAATTTTTCATGTCATTTTGTTGATAGCCAGCTGTAAATAAAAAATTCTATGATCTTAATAATTATGCTACACTGCCCTTAACTAAGGCCTTCAGATTAATTCATTCTTGAGGTCTAACTTGATTATTTCTTTACAATCTTCTACATGGGTAAGCACACTAACATGGTATCCAGGGCTTAAAAGCAAACACATGTAGTACATATCCAACTGAGAATTTTCTAAATCTGTCATGAATTTTCTTACCAGTCTGAATGTTGCTAGAGATCAGTTTCTGAAGTCAGACCTATGATAAAATCCCTGCCTCTTAGCTCTGTGTCTTTGAAAAAATTACTTAAACTCTCTGTGTCCTATTTTCCTCATTTAGAAAAAGAAATTAATAATACCAAATTTGTGGGGGTGTAAAATTAGCACCAAAGTGACCACTAAATCAAAACGTTACTCAATTTCTCATTCCCTGCAAATGACTCTCTTCCCCACTTCATAGCCAGATTTATTGAAAGAATTGTCCTCATGTGCTTGCTCCATTTCCTTCCCTCTTCCTTTCCTCTTCAACCTACTCCAACCTATTTTCTGTTCCAAACCTGATCATGTGTTCTTTGCCCCCAAACTTAATATAGTCTTCTCATATCCCTTATCTTAGTGAAGGGCTCGACCATCTGATCTAGTGATGCATTTATGATGCTTCCCTCTTCCTCCATATTCAGTCCATTTCTAAATTCTGACTAAAGTTTTACATTTAAATATCTCATAAATCCAGCCTTTTCTCTCCATCTCTACCATCTCCTGCCTAGTCTCCCACAAGAGATTCTTACGTGGACTACTCCCATCCGCCCCACCATCTGTGCATTCATTTCCCCACCACCGGTGCGACTCTCCTTTGGGACGAGTTCTCTTTGTTCATTTGACCATTTGGTTAATTCTAATCTCCTTCACCAGAACATAAGCTCCATTCTATTCGTCATGCCTGGCACCAAGTCCAGCATTCAGTAAGGGCTAAGTAAATATTTGTAGAGTGAATAAAGCATCTGCCACATGATATGCACTACTTAAATGGGAGTTCCCATTGCTGTCCTTGTCATTTTCGTCATCACCATCATCATGAGGTGATTTTTTTAAATATAAATACTCTTTCCTCTTCCAATTAGAGCTAACTAAACAATAGTGTCTTTAAATCTGCTTGCCCTATGGAAGTTCTCTGAACTTTTTGCATTTGACTCTAGCACACTCAGAATTTTCATTGCTCTAACACGGAGACAAAAAGATGTAAGAATATCAGAGACTAGGTTTGTCTTCCTGCTTTTCAGAGTGATTGCCTTTCTTCTCTTTCTGTAAATAATATGTGTATTGTTACCTAATCCTGCATTAAAAAGTCACCCTCAAACTTGACAACTTTTAAAAAATAAACATCTCACAGTTTCTGTGTGTCAGGAATCGGGGTAGGGGTGAGAGGGCAACATGGCTGGGTCCTCTGGAGCAGGGTCCATAAAGGCTGCTGTTGAGTTATGCAAAAACTCAACTTGGGGGAGGACGTGCTTCTGAGCTCACTCATGTGGCTGTTGGCAGGCCTCAGGTTCTCGCTGGCTGTTGGCTGGAAATCAAGTCTTGTCCACATGGGCTGCTCTCTAGAGCTTCTAATAGCATTGCAGCTTCTTCCCCCTGAGGGGCTCTGAGAGAGCGAGAATTGGTGAGCAAGAAGACCGGCACATCCAATTGGTAACTTAATCTCAGAAGTGACATCCCATCACTTTTATGGTATTCTGTTCATTAGAAACAAGTCATTGGATCTCTCCACACTCCAGGAGATGGAATTACACAATGGGGTGAATATCAGGAGGTGAGAATCATTGGGAGTTGCCTTAGATAGAAGCTGCCTAATGCAAGGGGTGACTTTGTTCTCTCTTAGGCACCAGCCTGGCTTTCACTTGATTCTTTTAAGCCTTTTCTCCTTTGGGAATCATGGGTAGCATATCCATCAGGGCCACAATGCCTTATCACACTTCTCTTTCAAAAAAAAAGGAAGAAAGAGGGGAGGAGGGGGATGGGGCAGGTTCTGCTAAAAATAGCTCCTAATATAAACAATTTTAATTGTCATTGCACGTTGTGCATTAACACTTAATCATGGAGATAACCCCAATTACTTATATTGGCTTGTCTGAGCATCAGTTTCCTGATGACTTATTTTATAGCTTCCTAATGAATATATTAAAAATAGAACTCAAGAACTAATAGATACAAAATGTGTATATTTAGATCCTGGTTTTCTTTCCCTTGCTGCACCCCCATCCCCCACTGTACACAGAGGTTTTAGTACTGATTTGAGATCATTCTGAAACTTCATCTATTTTATCTTCATGTACATAGATCCAATATTTGCCATTTAATTTTGATATAAATCCCTCAGCAACAATTAAACCACCTCCTAACTGACTGAGTTATCTGTCACTCGTCACACATTCTCTTATGCCACACGCCATAAGAGGAAAAGGGGAATACCTGTATTTAGGAGGGGTTTGTGGAAAGTCCTTGGAAAATCAATGCACATAGATGTCACCACTTCAGGCAGAGCTGAATGGAGCACTTTTAGAGGGAACTTCATTAAGTTGACCTGCAGCTGGATGACCGCTATCTCCACCTTCCATTTCCTTGTGCAGATTGTTTCCCAGAGGAAGCTGTCCAAATCCTTGCTGAAGCACGGGAACACGGCGGGGAAGTCCTCCATCACGGTAAGCCCCCCCATACAGCCATCTGCCAGGTGCCTGGGTGGAGCTGGCTGGAGCAAACCAGACTTGTGCAAAGCAGACCCTGTGGCTATTGGGAGCTGATGCCACAATCACGCAACTATCCAAGGCACCTCTTTGTTTTTTTTCCTCCACCTGTCAATACAATGTTGACCTTTTCATCCCTAGGGAAAAGGGGTAAAAAAAAAAAACCACCTCTTTTTTTTTTTCTCCACCTGTCAATACAATGTTGACCTTTGTATCCCTAGGGAAAAGGGGTAAAGAAAGGACCTGAAAGTAAAGCCATTTACTTTTACTAAGCACTTCTGCAATTGCAATATAGGTTCTAGTAGGGAACAGCGATGGAGTCATTGAGCTCAGTAAGAACATGGAATTGTGTGGGGTTTTCACATCATCAAAACTACCTATCCCTGCCTCTCATTTTTCTAAGAATTAAAAATTTGCTCTAATCACATTTAGTCCAAGGTTTGATTTGTTGCTTCAAGACCAGAGAGCCCAGCATTCAACCCTTTTCTTCATTATAATAGTTTAGAGCTATGCTGTCCTATTTGGTAGTCATTAGCCACATGTGATTATTTAAGCTTATGTACAATTATTTAAAATTAAATAAAAGCAGATATTCATTGCTTAGTCCCACAAGCCACATACAAAGTGCTCAATAGTTACATGTGGCTGGCAGCTACTATTTTGGATAGTGCAGATTGTAGAAACTTTCTGTAAGTGTAGAATTTCTATGGGAATTGCTGGGAGCACTTCTAAATAAAATCTTACATTTTCCTATATTTGAAACATTGACATCTTGTATTAGAGCCTTTGAGAAAGGCAGAAAAAGTAATCTAGCCAGTTAGCTATGCGAATCTAAATTGCTAGGGAGATAAATTGCCAGGAGGCAAACCTTCTGAGTTCCTTTGAACATTTCTTTTTAACTTAAAAGTGACTGATTAATTCTTTGTTAATGTAGGCCACTTTTTAAAGGAAAAATCCTGAGAATTCCTAGTGGTGAAAGTTATGACCATTCTTACAATAACTTACCTGAATTTGTTGCTTAAATATTTGAAATGATGCAGTCATGTCAAAGCCTTCTCTTGACTGCCATGCTCAATGATGAACAAATGGCTTTGAAGACCCCCCGGGTGCTCCAAAAAGCCAGGGACCCAAAGGCTCATTCCCAAAGCCCACAAACCCAGAGAAGCCTGGAGTGGTAGACCAGGTGTATGATTTGCCATGGGTCTCTCTCATGGGAAGGAAACCTCACCTTGCCACCTTTTTCTCTAAGGTATCTTGGAGATTTTCTTCCTACACACATCCCAGAGAAACTTTATCTCCTTAATTTTAAATAATTAAATACTTCTCATAATCTTGGGTCTTTGGATCAAAACAGTGGCTCTGTTAGCTTTTGGAAAACTCTTGAAAATATGTGCAAAATTTTCTAAGCTTCTGCAGATGAAGATCATAACTTCCATCATCTTTCCAAAGGTGTCTGTGACCACAAAGCAATTAAAGACCACTGCTCAAGTGGAGTGTAAGAGGCATGAAGGTGACAAGGTACAAAAGAGGACCAAATGGAAAATCTACATAGGGTGGTTTCTGGTTTACCAAAAAAGTTATTGAGTTTTTACTGCTTATCTGGACTCAAGTTTCCTATTTCTTAGGCAAAGTTTTTGGCTTTAATATTAGGTGCAAAATAAAATTTTCCAGAGGCTAACAAGGTGAACCCAACTTATAATGGAAAAGTTGAGCCCAAATAGATTGGAGATATAATTGAATTAAAGCTCAGTGGCTTGACATAAGCAATTTGTTGAGGGTATCCATGTCCTACACCTCTAAATGCCTGGTGAGGTCCTAAACATTATTTATGAATGGTTGAACCTATCTGTAACTAGACTGTCCTTAGATTTTTGTCATTATTGTTTTTCTCCTGTTTTTCCACCAATTTCTGTTCCCAGGCTTTGAGAATCACTGACTATTAAATATTGGAAAGCAACTTATTATGAAAGAGGCTCTTAGATAATATTATATTTTCACTTATACCAAAATCTCTGTCAAGAATTCTGTTCTTGAGAGTTAAGGTGTCTCTCTCTCTCTCTCTCTCTCATCTCATCTCATCTCAGAAAGCCCGGGGGGTCTTTTACAAAAAATAGGAATTAGCCTGGCAGGCGTGGCTCAGTGGTTGAACATTGACCTATGAACTTGGAAGTCACAGTTCAATTCCCCATCAGGGCATATGCCTGGGTTGTGGGCTTAATCCCCAGTGTGGGAGTACAGGAGGCAGCCAACCAGTGATTCTCTCTCATCATTGATGTTTCTATCTCTCTTTCCCTCTCCCTTCCTCTCTGAAGTCAATTAAAAAAGAAAAAAAATTAGAACATTTTTTTGATGGCCATATAATCATTGGTTTAGAAAGGACATAGAGACTGGTTTATTTCCCTATCCCTTGTTGGTCTAAAAACAGTGGGGAAATGTTACTGCTCCTCCTTATTTGCAACTTTCCAAAGGGGAAATATATATATAATTATGTGTGGATGTGCCATCCAATGCTCTTCCTAACTGCTGCTCCAAATTGTCTCTTCTTCCAGCCTACACCCCATCTGTTGTGTTGTCATGTGAAATCTGGTTATCTACTATTGTTTATTCTAAGGAGTTGCCTTAAGCACCTGGAAATGCTGTGCCATGTTCACTAGCATTGTAGAAATCTCCTTTTCCAGCCTCAGTCTTTGTTGATTTTGAACCAAATATGAGCTAAATTTGTTCATGAATTCCTGGGCTGATTGGTCCAACCATTACTGCAGCTGATGCATGCTTTTTCCTGTAGGTGATTGCTGAAGAATTATCTGGCAATGATGACTATGTTGAACTTGCATTCAACGCCCGGAAATTGGATGACAAGGTAAAGTGTTTGGCATTAACCTTACTGAAGGAAGTAATAAAGCCAGCACACAAAGTTTAATCAGATTTTCCCCTATAGCTATTTTATCCATTTCAGCCTACATTATTAAACAGATCAGAGATTTCAGAGAGGTCTGCAAAGTAAGACTTTCCCCAAATTGTGAATTAGTTAATGAGATAGGAGAGAGTCTACAATTAAACCAGGAAATTTTTATTACACTAAGACTTCATTTGTTCCCAAATGCCACAGCTCAGATATGCATGGGTAAATATGATTTAACCCCATTGGTAGGGGCATTTTAAAGGAAAGGAAGAAATGGAAAAGGGAAAAAAAGTCACATTTATTGAGCCACCTATACTTGCCAGAGTTAAGAGCTTTGCATGTGTTATCACATTCATTCATTCTTATAACTTCCAGCCAACAGAGATTGTTAACACTGTTTTGCAAATGAGGGAACAGATTCAAAGATTTGTTGGTTCAGATAATCCAAGACAGGATTAAATATACAAGGATTTTATTGGGAGACATGCCTGTGTAAGGAACATAGGGAGGAAGTCTGGGAGAGCTCACAGACCATGCTGCAAGTCTGACAATGAATAAAGGAGAGAGGGAAGGAAGGGCGGGGCAGTGTCCTGGAATGCCATGCAGTCCAAGGAAGGTTCAGCAAGGCCATCAAGGAGGCCTAGAGCCAAAATTGGCCAACAAGCTCAGTAGTCTGAACTTGCAGCTTATCCTGGAATCGAGGAAAGATAGAGTGTTATAAGGGAAAGGAATCTGATCTATTCAGCTTCAGATTTTAGCAACCGATCATTTTCAAAAGGCCAAGCTTAACTGAAGTTGGATGCATTTTACTGAGTGTAACTGTTGAACCAAGCTCTTCACTTATCTGACCCATTCCTTATTTAATAGGTCAACCAGGCCAGTTCATCTTAACATGGATAAGCAGTTAAGACTTTGTTGAACTGGGAAACAATTGCATCAAAACAAGGTTTATATCCCAAAATGTGTTTCCATGTATTTGGTAAGAGGTTTAAAAACATATACCTCGCCCAGCTGGCATGGCTCAGTGGTTAAACATCGACTTTTGAAACAGGAGATCACAGTTCTATTCCTGGTCGGGCATAAGCCCACGTTTCGGGCTCAATCCCTGGTGTGGGGCATGCAGGAGGCAACCGACCAATGATCTTATCACTGATGTTTTTATCTCTCTCTCTACCTCTCCCTTCCTCTCTGAAATCAATATATATATATATGTTTTAAAAAACACAAACTCTTACCTCCAGAGGACCATAAGAACTAGACCCTTAAGATCAGTCATGTTTACTCTTTTAAAAAATTTTTGATGGATATTATTATTACCATTTTAGTAATGGGAAAACTATAGGCTCAGAGGGAATAGAGAAGTTGTTCAAGATCACATTACTAGTAAGTGACCAATCTGGGATTAAAATCCAGTTCTGTTGGCCTCTTTACACTATATCTTCTTAAGTGTCAGTGAACGTCTCTGTAATAGAGACCTTGACTCTATTCATATTAATGATTTTCAGAGCAATAACTATGAATTTTTTCAGGGGTATTGGCAGAGTCTTTTTTTAATTTAAATTCTTTATTGTTTAAAGTATTACATAAGTCCCCTTTTTCCCCCATTGACCTCTTTCCAGCCGCCCCACCCCACAGCACATGCCCTCACCCTCCCACCGCCCTACCCCCAATCTGTGTCCATTGGTTACACTCATATGAATGCATTCAAGTCCTTCGGTTGAGTCATGTTTACTCTTATACTTCTAGTTCGTAGAGTTAGTTCTTGGCCTCCTTGACTCTACGCAGTCACTGGCTGGGAACATTCCATGGGAAGCCTGGCCTTGGTGCGAGTGCAGGGTGGGAAGTGCAAGCATGTAGCAGGGGCCCTTGGTCAGTTACACGCCCTGTAGTGGGGGGGGGGGCAGTCTACAAAGTATGTTCTCGTGACCACCACATCCTGCTAATCAGTGGTTAAACTGAGATTTTAGTTTCATGTCTGCCTCACTGTCATCTTTCTATTATATCTCACATCTCCCACCCAATCACAGTCCATGTTAGTCTTATCTATACAAAAAAAAAAAGTTCTACAGTCTCCACTTCTTTAAAAAACAAAGGGGGGGGGGAGTGTCCTCACCATATATTTATGATTTCCCTTTAACCATATCCTGAATCAGAAAACACATCACATTCATAACTGTATTCACAAAGGGCTTCGTTTTCCTAGAGTACAACTAGAGAAGATGGGATGTTTGGATGTGGCACCACACAGGCATTAGGATGAAGAGGGTAAAGCAGTATCTTAAGCAATTTCCTAAACTCTTAAGCAGCAGCTTATATCCTGGCATATCTCATTCACTTTCACCTGCAAAAATACTCAGCCCATTTATGCATTCATTAATTCACTCTTTCCTTTGTTTACTTATTCACTTATTCATCAGTCATTTACCAAACCTTTGTTGCATGCTTGTTATGCATCAAGTGATAGGAAAAAGACGTACTTTAAACCACTCTCCCACCCACAACCTGCAATTCACCATCTAAGTGAAACATAAATTTAAACAACAAATGGTATAATAATACTGTAGCTATGACAGGATGGGCTAAGTGATGTATAACCAGAGTGCCCTGAAAAGGGTAATTCATTCAGCCTGGGGACATCAGGAAAGACTTTATCCTTGTGAATGAATTATATTTTAATTCTTTCAGTATCTTGAGTACATTGTGTGAAACTCACACAACCGCTACCTTTTGACATTAGCATGAACTTGGTGCTGGGAACCGCAGTGTGCACTGATATCCATTGGGTGTGAGCTTTTAACCTTCACTTCCTTGGAACCATTATGCTCTTTCTCCCTGTCATATCCTCAGGTTTCAGAATAATTCACCAAACTGCTTTGTAGTGTCTTTCCAGGTACCATTATAAGCCATGGAGTCAGTGTGTAGCAGTGTTACACTACTCATTTAATGGCTTATAATGGCTTCTTTCCTCTTAGTAGTCTCTTAAGAACCACTAATTTTTCCTCTGACTTATGTCACAGTGCAAGGAGACTTCCAGGTTTATTAGTGGACACATTGACTCTAAGGTCTTTGAAGTTTCCTTTCATTCAAATGAGCACTGCTCATAAAACTGAAAGAGTCCCTATGTAGCATTTAATGTGGTTCGAGATGGCCATTCCCACCCTTGACTGTGCAGATTATCCAGGACCCTGGTCACTGTTGCGCCTCAGTGCCCCAGTGCTGTAGACCCAGGCCCTTTATAATGGACTCCTTAGTATCCAGCAAGGAGCAGGCCCTGTTCAGAGCCAAGCAGAAGCCATTGCTTCCGTTTGAACTGGAAGGTGAATGGTCTCAGGTGAAAAGAGGGCAAGTTGTAGAATTTAAGAAGCAAGATGATGCCATGAAGATCATCTCCTACAGCCTCTTCGGGAAATAAAGACTCTGATTTGCTTGATGACAGACACTATTACTGCTCCGGTTAGCTATTGCTGTATAACAAAACCACCTCAAAACCCAGTGACTTAAATTAACAACTCTTTTATTGTATGCCATGATTTTGAGAGCCAGAAATTCAGGCTGGGTTCACCTGGATAACTCTTCTGCTCCTAATGATGTTGACAAAAGTCACTTGTGGAGGAGCTTGGTCTTTGGATGGTCACACTTCCTACATGATCTCCTGGCTTTTTCCAGAGGGAACATGCAGGAAAATGAGGCAGAAGCTGGTGGCATTTCCGATATAGCCTTGGAAGTCATCCTTCATCACTTCTGCTATATTCTATTGGTTACAGGAGAGTCGAGAGGCCATCACAGAGTCAAGGAGAGGGGAGTTAGGCTCCATGCCTTGGTGAGGGGGTAGCAAAGTCATATTGTAGAAAACCTGTGGACAGTGGACATTGTGATGGCCACCTATGGAAAATGCAATCTGTCACAGTGCTTTTGTCACCAATCCAGAATAAGATAAAAGTTATTTCATGTCACAGCTGGGAAAGTAGTTCCCAGAGGTTCTCAAGGAGGACCTCCTTCTAGCTTTTAGCATTGATGTTCTAGTTGCCTACATGTTAGCGGTTGAGCTTATCTATTCATTGAGAAAATATATCATGACTAAAAGCCACTGAAATACATAAAGCTCCTAATATTAAAATTTTGTTAATAAGTATCATGAGAACAACTGCTTTCTAAGTACATTTGGAAAGTTGCAGTATGACTATGTGGGGGGAATATGCTATATCCATGCTATATGCTGAATTAGATGTGTTAGCGGAGGGAACACAACTCATTTTTATGTATCTGTCTATTTTAGGATTTCTTCAGTAAATCTGACCCATTTCTGGAAATTTTTCGTATGAATGATGATGCAACTCAGCAGCTTGTACACCGAACTGAGGTAATAACTATGCCATCTCATCTCCTAAGATGATAAATTGACCTGTTTCGAGAAAACCCTTACATTTCTTAATGTCTGTAGCTATGCATTCAGACATGAGTCCTCACTGTTCTCAAGAGGACTCTTTATTCTCAATTTAGATTGTTAGAAGAGAAGACCCTCTCTCATCCACATTTTTCATTATTTTATTAGTAATACAAATATAAATACTAGGTAACATTTAATGAAGGTGACTAGGCGCCAAACATTGTACTAAGTGATTTTATGCACATTATTTTAGCTACTTCTCACAACAATCCTTTGACATGCTTATCACCCTCATTTTGCAGTTGAATAAACTGAACTTTTGGGAGGTTGGTCACTTACCCAGTTCTCAACATTAACAAGGGGTACAGCTGAAGTTTGAATTGAGTGTGTTTGATCCTGAGCTTCACTGTAATTTGGAAAGGCAGTGTGCCTCCCCAGGGAAAGTTGATACACTGGACTGATAGCAAGCCTCTCATGTGAACAGCAGCCTTCCTCAGCAGCCACTGGGTCTATCTGCATGTCCCTCTCACCTCCCCTCCTCTCTCTCCATGTGTCTCCAAACCTTATGCTTCACTGTCCAACCCCCCACTACCCACTACTGTGTACCACTCAGCAACCAACCCCAATCTCTACTTTTTATTTTATTTATAAGCCAGTTCCAAGAGAGATTCTGTAGGAGTGAGAAGCACATTGATAAGGAGGAAGTGGGGTAATTTTGATGATTGACTTGGAGCTAAGGGAAGGCTGTGTTGTGCTCACCAGTGGTAGCATAAAGGAAGAAGGAACCCTCGTGACTCATACGACGAGAGTGGAGGTGCCATGTTCTCACTACCCTACACTGGAAATCCAGTTCCATTTTCCTGGAATAACAGAGTAGCAAGTAGCATTGGGGGAACAGAACATGTTATACTTAAAGTAGACAAGTATTAAATAGTGTTGAATGGCCTAGTCTGTGGATATCATCGAACGCATACTTGGCATTTAATAAAATGGGTTTAATAAAACAATGAATAAATGAATGGATTTGTGTATAGATAGCATGTCCACTACAAGTTATAGCACAAAGTGATGCTCTGGCACTTAATCCCTGGGGAATAGATTGAGGTGCAACTGGGATAGTTTCACCCTCACTGAATAGAACTGTTTCACACATAAGGATTCCTTTGGTGGCACAGACTTTTCAGGGGAAGTAAATAGACTTTGGGAAGGACCAGAAGTGGTATCCACTCAAGCTTTTGCTGAAGTCAGTGAATGGAGGCTTTAAAGTGCAGGGAGAACAGGGATGGATGGTACACTGTTGGCCTTCTCTCACAGGATCCTTTTCTCCTTTGCTCCTCACAGCCTTTTTCTTCTCATTGTTGATACTGTTAAATCCTCCTAGTCCCAAGAATCTCTAGAACTTCCCCCAATATCCCATTACTGAGGGGTTCCTGGAGTCTCACAAGAAATGTGATTATAAACTTCTCCAGTGAGTCAAGCAACATAACATTGATTTTTTTTTCTTGTGGACATGCACACATGCACATTTTTCATTTCAGAGGAAATTTCTAGTTGAAATTTTGATTTGCTATTGAGTTTTTCAAAACTGCTGCAATAAGACATCTTTATTCCTTAGTATCTATACCAGTGATGGCGAACCTATGACACGCGTGTCAGAGGTGACATGCGAACTCATTTTTTTGCTTGATTTTTCTTTGTTAAATCGCATTTAAATATATAAAATAAATATCAAAAATATAAATCTTTGTTTTACTATGGTTGCAAATATCAAAAAATTTCTTTTTTTTTAAATATATTTTATTGATTTTTTACAGAGAGGAAGGGAGAGAGATAGAGAGTTAGAAACATCGATGAGAGAGAAACATCGATCAGCTGCCTCCTGCACATCTCCTACTGGGGATGTGCCCGCAACCCAGGTACATGCCCTTGACCGGAATCGAACCCGGGACCGTTCAGTCCACAGGCCGACGCTCTATCCACTGAGCCAAACCGGTTTCGGCTCAAAAAATTTCTATATGTGACACGGCACCAGAGTTAAGTTAGGGTTTTTCAAAATGCTGACACACCGAGCTCAAAAGGTTCACCATCACTGATCTATACTAATAAAAGGGTAATATGCTAATTAGAGCAGATGTCTTCCAGACGTCCTTCCGGACAAAGCCGCAGCCACTGCCTGAGGCTCAGGCAAGCCGCAGATGGTAGCTGCCACTGCCCAGAGCCGGCCCAAGGCTCAGGCAAGTGGTGGCTGCCTGGGGGCTGGCAGTGGCAGCAGCAGAGGCGTGATGGGGGTGGTTCCTTCCCCTGATCGGCCTGGTCGCTTCTCGCAGAGGGAGGCCAGAGGCAGCAGCAGTGACAAAGTGATGGGGGCGGTGCCTTCTCCTGATCAGCCAGTCGCCTCCCACAGAGGGAGGCCAGACTGCGGCTCAGGCCCGCTTCCCGTGGGGAGCGGGCCTAAGCCGTCAGTAGGACATCCCCTGAGGGCTCCCGGACTGTGAGAGGGGGAAGGCTGGGCTGAGGGACAAACCACCCCCCCCCCCCGCCCCAGTGCATGATTTTTCATGCACCGGGCCTCTAGTTTTTACATAAAGGTGAGAATTTTGACCTAACCCAGATGATTTTATCTAACTTTTCTCATCACTATCACTTTGATCATCCCCGGGGTACTGGAGCTTAAGACAAAGTCACACAGGAACAGTATTTTTCTACTTTAATACATTAAGAGAAATTTAATAATGAGCCCAGGATATAATGAATAATTCATAGTTATATTAAGGATTCCAGTAGAAGAGAGAATCACTTAGAAAATAATTATGTTATTTGGATAGAGAATTAATTTTTTACAGTGCTAAGATTTCTGCTAACTAATAACTTCATAGGAAGAAAAATCAATATGACAATTTAAGTTCATTTTATGTCCCCTAGAGCAGTGGTTTCATGCATCAGAATCACCTGGGGGGTGGGGGGGGGCTGTCCTCTAGAGTTTCTGTCCATAGGTCTGGTTGGAACCTAGAAATTCACCTAAGGATATTTTTTCCAATGATTTCTAGAGAGAATGGAAGGAAAGGAGGAGGGAGGGAGAGAGAGAGAAACATTGATGTGAGAGAGACATGTCTATTGGTTGCCTCCCCCACGTGTTTCTACCATGGCTGGGGAACCTGCAACCGAGGTACGTACCCTTGACCAGGAATCAAACCTGCAACCCTTCAGTCCACAGGCAAAACACTCTAACCACTGAGCAAAACTAGCCAGGACTAGAAGTTTGCATTTTTAACAAGTTCCCAGGTGATACAGCCCCTGCTGATTCAGGAATAGTCTTAGGCACAGAGCAGATACTCATACATTCTAAAACAAATTGAATTATTTGAATCATAGTGATGACAGGGTAAGACTTGACACATGTGGAATTTTGGGCAGGATATAGCCAAGTTCATGATTAGTAAGCTGCTTTTAAATGTGTTTCACTATTTAATAGACTTAGTTCATGACACTGAAGATTGGCCCTGTGTCTGTCTTCCTAGGATAGTTAGTGTAAATATGCTCCTGGGATTTTTCTTCTAGAAACTTCTGATTTGTAAACTGATCTAACTCAAACTCATGGATTACCAAAGACCATTTAATTCTTTAGCAGTAGAATTGTCCTGTCACTCACTCACACACACACACACACACACACACACCAATAGTCTTTGCCTATGATGATCTCAATAAAAGAGAACTTATGTCATAGGACCGACAGTCCTACAGAAGAGGGGATGTTTTATCAGAGGCCAGACGTAGCCCCACCTCATTAATTTCAACCCCTTTTGATATAGAATGAGTCATCCTCAGCATCCACATACTAGACAGTATTACTGTCCTTATTCTTGAAATGACAGCCAGGCCAGTGATCACAGGAATTCTGCCTATACTGACCCACTTAGTGGACACCCTTAAAAGATTTACTACTCTAGGTTTTCATTAAGGCACCTGGTCCAATCAATTGTCCTTTTCAAAGTGCCAAAAAGCATCTCTAGCATTTTTTATGGTAAAATGTGAAAATGTCAAACATTTTCTCTCCCACCCACCACTCCTCTCTTTTTTCTTCTCAGGTTGTGATGAATAACTTAAGCCCAGCCTGGAAATCATTCAAAGTATCAGTAAATTCCCTATGCAGTGGAGATCCAGACCGCCGGCTAAAGGTCAGAAATCTATGTCTGATAATGCAATTTTTGTGTATTTAACCCTAGTCTTTCCCCTTAAGTGAATGTTGGAAAACCCAAAATTTCTGTGCCATTTAACCAAATCCCTTAGCATCTTTTTTGGAAAAGTAGGGGCAATTTCTTCTGCGAGAGTCATTGAAGCTCATAAGATAGCCCAAGATAAATCCCAATTTTGTTATGTCAAGAGGCAAATCTTACAGCTTCTCAGAGACAAACTGTGGCAATAACTTCAGGGTTATTAATGGGGAGTTATTAAGAACACAAATACTGCTGTATTGATTACCTACTGTTGCATAACGAACTACTACACAATTTAGTAGCTTAAAATAACAACCATTTATTTAGCTTGAAAGTCTGTGCTTTGGCAAGTTGAGTTCATCTAGGAGGTTCTTCTGTTAGGCTTGCTTGGACTCCCTCACATATTTGTAGCCTGTTGCACATGAGCAGAGTGGCTCTGCTTCTGGGGTGTACCTGGCTGTCATCTGGAATGATTGGGGTGGTTGGGCCATTTGTCTCTCATCATCCAGCAGGCTAGCTTGGCCTTATACACAGAGCAACCTTAGGGTTCCAAAAGACCAAGAACAGAAGCTGTGAGGTATCTTGAGGCTTAGCCTTAGAACTCATACGTGGTCACTCCCTCCACATTCTATTGGCCACAGCAAGTCACATGGCCATCCCAGATTCAGGAGCTGAAATAGGAAACAGACTCCACCTTTTGGTGGGAGGAGCTACCTAGTATTGTGGCCTTTTTTTTTTTTTTTTCAATCTATCACAAATGCATTTTGAATATCATGGGAATATAGAAGTTGGAAGAAAAATGCACTGTGGAGGGTCAGGATGACCAAAGGAAGACAATAGGCTAATGCCAGAAGCAAACTCCAGGAGGCATTGCCTGAGTTCTATGGTCTGTCCCTCTCTCTGCCTTGGAAATCCAGAAGCTGGGACATATTGTTAGTGTCCCGGAGTTGATTCTACCAATTCCAGATGACTAAGTAAATCCAAGGGAGACCAGCACCTATAAGGCTGATCGATTCATGTTCAATGAGAAGCATGCCCATCAAGCAGACTTACCATGCACTTCAGCTTCACCAGGGCATTTTCTCCATGTGAGCAAACCATAGGGCAGACAGCAGTCAGAAGGTTGCTGGGATAGCCTGAAAGCAAAACCAGGGATGCTGGAGAATGGTGATGGCTAATGGCTACAGGCTCTAAAAGTTTGGGATGTCTGTATAGGAATATAGGTTCATTAGGCAAACTAAACATTCATGGTCTTTCAGGGCACCTAGTCCCATGGAAAGTAGCCATTGCCAGTGTTCGTCTTTGGAACGTTACATTTTCTTCCCTATTTTGCCCCATAAATCTTCTTCCTTCTCTCTCTCCCCACCACTGGGTCATTCTGAAGCAAATGTGGACAGACTCATCCCTTAGGCACAACAAGCATATAATGCCAGGACCCATAATACTTTTAGGACTCTACAAAAATGTTTTAATTGCCCTTAAAATCAGAAGGGAAAAAATGAACTTGTAAGATCGAAGAAAATGTTTTAATTTTTTTCTCACATCAAAAAACAATGACATTTTTAGGATCCCAAAATATATTATGGTGACTGGGGCCTTATGAAGGCAGAAGTATCTGAGAACAACAAAAGTCATGATGTGCCTTACCCCCCAGCATTATACCATTTCATCCAAAAATACTTCAGTATGTATTTCTAAAGGGTAAGGAATCTTTCTGTTAACATAACCACAATCCCATTATCATATCCAAGAATATGAACTAAGCTTCCTAGTAATCAAATATTTTGCCACTATTCACATGTGACTGATTGTCTAATTTATTAAAACGTTTAGTTTTTCTTGAATTGGGATCTAAACATGGTTCAAACATTGCATTCGACTGAAATATCTCTGAGGTCTCATAATCTGTTAGTTGCCTTTTCCTCTTTTTTCTTTTTCTTGCAATTTACTTATTGAAGAGACAAGGTTGGTTTGTTCTGTAGCATTTCTCACATTCTATATTCCCTTTAACAGCTAGTTAGAACCTGATCAGCTTCAGGATCCCTCGTCTAGCAACAATGCTTTATAAGTAATGTTGCTTTGTTATGGTGTTAACAGTCATGGAGGAACATTGCCTATATTCATCATTTTGTTATGGCTTCCAAAATGGTTTTTTCCAATTCTGCCATTTCTTTGTTATTTATTATTTAGAGTTCTTCGGTAAAGAAAGACTTTTCTTTTAATAACTATTTGGTTTGCTGAGGTGTGATTTGTACACAAAAGGCAGAAACATGGTTTATTTGTCCTTTTTTCCTTTTTCACCAGTTTTCAGAATAACAAGGTACTTCCCCCAGCATTCTACATAGTGAGGTCCCTCAATATTATTAAGAATTCATGGATTTTTAATATATTTGAGTATTCCAGTTATTATTATTCCTTTGAAAACTTTAATTATCCAATATTTAACCAAAGAGACCCCCTTCAAGTTGGCTCTTGGGTTCTTTTGATATAAGTTTAATAGTGTTTAATAGTTTCCTTGCTTTCTGGTATGATTTTTTTAAAGTCATAAGCTTTAAATTCTTTTGCTTTATAAGTTATATCTCTCAATAGATGGTGAGTCATATTTAAAATCTTGAAAGAATTCTTCTCCAGTGTTAAACCTCTACCTCATAAAACTACCAGGTTCATTTGTTTCATTTTGCTTTCAGTTTTTAGGATTTATTTTTACAATTTTAATTTTGTTTTATAATTATATAAAATTTTGCATGATTCTAAAGTCAGAGCTACAAAACAAGGTGTAGTCAGGAAAGTTTAGCTCTCACTCCTGTCTTTCCTTCTTTTTACCCTCTTCCCTTATAGGTAATCATTTTGTAGTGCATTTTAATATATGGTAGGGCTAGCCCCTCCCACTTCTGTATTCCTTGTCTTTTAAGGGTTTTCCTGGATATTTAGCTTGTTTGTTCTTTCCATTTAACTTTATAAGCAATTAGTATCAGAAGAAGAAAAGGAAGCTTGCTGGTATTTTTGTTGGGATTTCAAAGAAAATATTTTTTTAATATTGAGTCTTTCCATCCCAGAACATAGAATGCCTTGCCATTTACTCATGTGTCCTTTGCGTTTTGCATGAGGGCTTAAGGTTTTTCTCTTATAGGTTTGGAATGTTTATGCCTAGTTAATTTTTTCCCTTTTTCTCTCTCTCTTCCTCTCTCTCTCTTTTCCTTTAATTTGCTATTGTAAATTGGGTCTTCCATTATACATTCTAAGTAACTGTTATTTGTATACATAAACGCTATTGAATTGTTTTCTTAAATTCTTGTTTTATAAAGTTCTATTATTGTTTATAGTAATTTTCTGTTAATTTTTTTGGAGTTTTCCAAATATGTAATTATATTATCTGGAAGTGGGTACTTTCCCCCTACTTACTTAACTAATGGCTCTAGTTATTTCTCTTTAATTGTGTGGACCAATACCATGTCAAATAGTAGTGGAGATAGAAGGCATTCTTGTCTTATTCATCACTATAGTGGAAAATCCTATAGTACTTCCAATTAATTCTGGCAGAGATTAATTTTTTATAGTAGATCTGAAGGTATCAGAGACTTAGAGCTTTCTAAGCCACATCTACTGAGCCTCAAATACCTGTGGTAGCATTCAGAGAGGATTCTTATTTGTTTGGATTACCCAAAGACAACACTGCAACTGAGTGAAAGACCTTGCACTGCTTCCTAAGTTTATATCTAATCTTAACTATTTAATGAAATTATCCATGCTTTTTCCATGACATATTGGAATCTTTGTCAAAATCATAATTTTATTTATTACTAACCATACTGTGAGATAGGTTCCATTGTCTTCATTCTACAGGTGAAGAAACTGAGGGTCAAAACCCTATGCAGTCAAATGCCAAATTTAATGCTTTTTATTGAATTGTGCTACCTCTATTTTGTTATATTTATTAGAAAACAAATCATCCTGAAAAAAAGCACATCCCTTTACTCTTACCCAACCAGAATGCTTATTTATCATCATCCTAATATTTAAAAGAAACAAGACTTGTTTATATGTAACATATTTTATAAAGTCTAAGAAACTGTCAATTACTTAACATACCACTAAGGGGGAAAAAGTACTCTCAATTAAACTTATTGCACATTGCTTTCTTGTCGATGTGTGGTCGATAAGAAAATAAATACGTGCCTCATAGATTCTATGAAATATGGTATTAATTGTTTCCTTTGATTTGATCAACGAATTATTAATGCCCATTACATATTCTTTAGGAGGCACTACTGGTATTCAGAATAAGTTCTTCCAGATTGGGGCCTTGAGGAAGAGAGGAAGAAGGCACCATCAGCCTAGTCCTATGGGAAAATGCCATGCCAGAATAATCTAGACAAACACCCAAACACCATATAAACACCGTGAGGCCATTTCCTAATTAGAGAAGGAGACAGGATGCCTGATAAACTCTATGGGAATGTCTCCAAGTTACCTGTGTGGTTTGAGTTCTCCTCTAATACTCTCCCCATAGAGTTTATCAGGCATCCACTGAGTATGAATGATAGAGAGTAGTTGCCTTGAAGAGGGATCTAGGGTGATGGGGACCAGTTGTTTCTGTGTCAACCTACCCCCAGGCCTTATTCAGGAGAGAGGCCCAGGTTGTGGTGGGATGGGCACAAGCAAGACCAGGCAGAAGGAAGTAGCAGAAGAGAAAGAGAATCAGGTTCCCAAAGTTAAAGCCAAGGTGGTAAGACTCAGGAGGCCATGAAGGAGTAAGAGGTATAGGTCTAAAGCAACCAACAAATGACATTTTCACCCATGATTTGTCTTCCTCCTTCTGTATACCCTCCCTCTTTTGCAGCCATGTCTCGTTGATTTGAAATTGCCATGTTCATGAGCTCATTTCTGACACCCCTAAAGCGGGATTCCTGGCCAATCAGAAAAGTGTTCTGTGGAATTAGAATCAGACCCCAGTGGTCCTAGAATCTTCATTTCAACAATTTTTCCTAAGCAATGCTAGTGCAGGCCGTTTGCCAAGCACACATTGAGAAACACTGTCTTTCTAATGATTCTCTGTCAAGTCAGCTGGTGCCTCTCTTAAGGAGTTCAGTATTTTTTCTGCCATCTTACTGCAACGCTAAGTGCATATGTATGTATACATTCTGCTCTTCCTCCTTTAGGACACCCTTAGCATTTGTACTTTGCTTACATCAGCTATCTGTGTCCTCACTTCTCACGTGTGACCAGGACATCTTAAATTGAAATCGTATGTTCTCTACAAATTCATTGTCTTTGTTTTGAACTCCCTGACACATTCTTGCCAAATGGGTTTGACTCCTGGAGTGTGTTCTTGGATTTTGTGTTGAATCTTTCCCCTTTATTCCCAATCCCTTGTGATTACTAACTCCTAGACCCCTGAGTGCCTCTTATTTTGCCCCTGGTCCTTTGGATTTAGTTGTCATACTTGTTTTCTTTCTCTTTCATTCTAATTTTCTGTAACAAACCTTCTGGCTCACACTGCTTGGAAAGGAAGAAATCCCACCCCAGTTACAACCCCCAGATCTCAGTCCTTGACTGTGGCACAATTTAGCCCCATAATTCCCTCAAACCCATAGAAGAGGCTTCATCATTACATACCCCATTGGTTACATTAGCACTCCTAATTCTTGTTACAAAACACTGGAAATTGGAATTGAGGGGTTCATTGTTAAAGTATGCTCAGTATTATTGAAAATGCCTGTAATAAAGAACCTACCCTAGGCTCAGGCAGTTGAAAGCAAGTTCAAAACTGATGGTTGCCAGATGGGAGGGGAATTGGGGGTCTGCATAAAAAAAGGTGAAGGGATTAAGAAGTACTAGTCACGGGTTATAAAGTACAGCATAGGGAATATAGTCAATAATATTGTAATAACTATATATGGTGCCAGTTGGGTACTAGACTTATGGCGGGGGGAGTCACTTCACAAATTACATAAATATCTGACCACCATGCTGTACACCTGAAACTAATATAAAATAATATTGAGTGTCAACTGTAATTGAAAATCAAAAAATAAAATGAAAGCGAGTTCACTTTCATCTCTACCTCCTTACAATGGAAAGGGGTGGTGGGAGTGGGAAACTTAAATGGTTCACAGTCCTGTTAAGTTTTCATGAGATCTGTTACAATTCAAATGCCCTCCTTATGGCCCTCTGGGCCCAAGGGCTGCTGATTTTGTGCCTGTTGGTAGTTCAGTCAGTTACCAGAGGATCGCAGACTCATCATGGTGTCTCTATAGCGGATCAGCCATGGCACAGGAATTCTTGACTCCACTTAAGTAAATGGCACCTGTGAGCCCAGCAGGCGTTCTCTACTGAGAGCTGTGATCAATACTGAAGCATGGAAAAGCAATAATGAGCTTAACAGTGTTAAATCAGCAAAAAAGGAGGTTTCTGGATGAGAGACAACCTGCATATTGTCTTATTTTTAATAATTTTTCCTTTACATTAATATTATCTCTTTTTTTTTTTTTACAAATGAGGAATTCTCTGTGTTTAAGCAAATTGCTTAAGATTACACAGCTCAGTAGCACAGCCTTCGTTTAAACCCAGGTCTCATCCTCTATAGACCTTGCTCTTAACTATTAAAAGACAGTTAACATTTACTGAGCATTCAGCTACCAGGTACTATGCCAGACACTGCTTAATTATGTCATTCAACTCTAATTATCTTCGGTTAAACAATTCTGCAGTAAAAAAGAGCCCCATGCAATATAAGCTTTTTTCTTGCTCATATAACAATCAAAGGGAAAACTTTTTAATCATTCAGTGATTCAAGAACCTTGTGGCTCATCCATAGCTTAGGGCCTCATTGTTAGTTGCATCCAGCAGGCAGAAGACTAAAAAATGCGGAGCTCTCTCTCTGTCTAGAAGTGTTAGCTGAAAACAGCACTTGGCATTGCGATTAAAAAAACAACATGCAGGGATTTCCCATGTGTACTTCTGTAATGCAAGTAGACAATTAGAAACGGGGGGTACTTTTCGATTACACAATTTGGCTTGGGGTTTTTTAGGCTTCACCAGGACTGTGTCTTCAAATCTGAAAGCGTGTAAGTGAGGACTTCTGGTTTAGGAATGTTCAGAGACTATTTTCTGTTTTTCTTCACTCCCTCTCAAGCCCGGTCAGCCAAACATAGTTCTCACCCTCCCTGTATGTTCTCCCTGAGGTTGCTGTCCTTTCTGGGTCTGGTTCATGAGGAGTCTCAGGACTGACTTGCCCTCCAGGTTGGCCCCACCTCCGGGAGCTGAGGACTCAGGCTCCAGGCCTGTAGGAAGCAGCAGAGGCCGGCAACAAACTCTGGCTCCAGGTTTGCTTGTCCCTCCCAGGTAAAGCCTTCCTGTCATTTCTGGCCTCCAGCTGTTCCCCGGACATTATTTTTACTGCAGCTACTCTTCCAAAGACATCTGTAAATATGTTTATCCAGAATATAGAGATGCTTTGCACCAACAGTGCTTTCTGGAAATAGAAATCCCCTTTGTAGTTTAAGTTGTACAGATTTGCTTTCTCTATTTAACTAATTAATGCTTCATGAACCTGGATTGAACAGAAAACAAAGTGGTGCAATGAACAGGGAAGTGGCTTGCATAAATAAATACATGAACAAATAAACTAATTAATTAATTAAAATTTGAAAGAACAACACGACTAAGGGCAACCAGCATAAGCCACTGGGGACAACATGGATGGTCCTGGGGGTATTGTGCTAAGTGAAATAAGTCAGACAGAGAAAACAAATACCATGTGATTTCACTTGTGTGTGGAATCTAAAAAACAAATATACAAACAGAGTAGAAACAAACATACAGAGAACAGATTGATGGTTGGCAGTTGGGGTTGGAGGGATGGGTGAAAGGGGGAAGGGATTAAGATGTACAAATTGCCAGTCATAAAAACAGCCACAGAATATAAGCTACAGTTTAAGGAACATCATCAACAATATTATAATAACTTTGTATTGTGACAGATGGGTACTAGACTTACTGGGATGATCACTTTGTAAATAATATAAATGTCTAATTACTATGTGGTACACCTGAAACTAACATAATATTGTATCTCAACTCTAATTGAAAATAAAAGTGTCTCCCTGTGGAAGAATCAGCTAGCTGGTCACCAAAAATCTGTTTTCTTTTCTTTCTAGGCATCCAACTAGCCCACATTTCCCACCTTCTCTTATAGTTCAGTGTGACCATATGACTGAGTTTTCTTAGTTTCTTTGGTGTTTTTTATATAAATAATCATATCATTTGCAGATAATGGCAATTGTTTCTTTCCAATTCTTATATTTTTCCACCTTTCCTTTGGTGTGGGCTGGGACTGCTATACACTATACAGAAATGACTCTAGGCTTCTTTTGTTCTTAATCTTCAGGGTTTGAAAAAAGGATTCCTTGAATATAACTTTTTCCATAGTATTTTTAAAGCTACTTATTAGCTGAAAATATTGTTATATTCCTAGTTTTTCCGAGGATTTATTTTGAGATCATAGGTTAACATTAAGGATTTCTTCTTGCTTTTATTGACAAAAGTTCATGGGGTTTCCTCCATAAATCTGTTAATGAAGTAGATTAGACAAATAGATATTCTTACCTTGAATTTAAGAATGATGCTACAAGCATTAGAGGTTAAAAATGTACCCACAAAATCCCAGTAGACACAACAATTATATAGATGACTTTATTATAACTATCCAAGAAACAGATATTGTAATCTTTTTTTAATATATTTTATTCATTTTTTACCAAGAGGAAGGGAGAGGGATAGAGAGTCAGAAACATCGATGAGAGAGAAACATCGATCAGCTGCCTCCTGCACACTCCCCTCTGGGGACATGCCCGCAACCAAGGTACATGCCCTTGACCGGAATCGAACCTAGGACCCTTCAGTCCGCAGGCCAACGCTCTATCCACCGAGCCAAACAAGTTAGGCAGATATTTTAATCTTACACAACACCTTTTAGTTAAAATAATAATAATAATAATAAGGAGCCCTATCCATTTGGCTCAGTGGATAGAGCATCAACCCATAGACTGAAGGGTCCCAGGTTCAATTCTGGTCAAGAGTGTATACCTTGGTTGCAGGCTCGATCCCTGGTCCCCAATGGGGTGCATGTGGGAGGCAACCAATTGATATGATGTGTCTCTCTCACATTGATGTTTCTCTCTCTCTGTCTCTCCCCTCCCTTCCACTGTCTCTAAAAATCAATGGAAAAGTATCCTCAGGTGAGGATTAACACAAAAAAGGAAAACACCTTAACTAACATAACCTTGGTACCTATAGCAATAAAAAATAATGAAAGAAAAATGATTCCATTTACATGAAATATCCAGAGCAAGTGAATCCGAGGAGACAGAGAGCAAATTAGTGGTTGTCAGGGGCTGGGGGAGGGGAGAGACTGCTAATGGGTAGTGAAATGTCCTAAAGTTGGCGACAGTATTGCTTGAGTGGTCCTGTGACTATACTAAACCCATTGACTCATACATGGGTTAAATGGGTGAATTATGTGATATGTGAGTTACATCTCAATAAAGCTGTTTATAAAAAGTGTTAGCCAATCTCACTCCTGAACATAGATATAAAAATCCCATTTTCTTAACACTAATAGTGATATAAAATAAAAGGTGATGCATCACGATCAAGGGTGCTCCAATGCTAGAATGTTGGTTAATCTGATCTATTGCATAATGGAGCTGTGGAGGGAATCCTCTATACTCTTTCTGTAGAAAATTACAGACAAAGAGTGAAACACATTGCAAAACTGAACTTAGGGATGGAGAGCACATGTTCTTCGCTGGAGAAGTCAGTATCTTAGAGCAGGGGTGGCGAATGTCTGGCTCATCAACTGTATAAGGCCCATGAAATAATTTGCTCTGGCCCTGACAAGGCAGTAGGGGAGAGTTAAATGTTTGACCAAATATAGGAGAGAGAGAGAGAGAGAGAGAGAGAGAGAGAGAGAGAGAGAGAGGGAGGGAGAGAGAGACATCAATGATGAGAGAGAATCATTGATTGGTTGCCTCCTGCATTCCCCACACTGGGGATCGAGCCCACAACCCAGGCATGTGCTCTGACCAGGAATCGAATCGTGACCTCCTGGTTCATAGGGTGACACTCAACCACTGAGCCGTGCTGGCTGGGCCAGCAGGCTGATTTTTAAGTTGATCATTTTGTATGGCCCTCGATTATGTTATAAATATCAAAATGATCCTTGGCAGAAAAAAGGTTCCGCATCCCTTCATAGAGATACCAATTCTTCCTAAAATGGTCTATAGATTTAATGTAATTCCAATCAAAAGTCTATGGCCATCTATTGGCCATGACATACTGATCAAACATTATATGGCCATTTTTCTCTTTCCTTCCTCTTCTCTTTTTCCTTCTTTTCTCTGTCCTTCCTTTTCCTTGCAGGGGCAGCATGCCCAGGGTCCAAAGTGTCAGTGAAGCCAATAAATATGTATAAGTCCATGAATACACATACACAGAAATCAATTAACAAAATGGGTAACATGCATGACAAGGTGTTGCACAACATAGAAAACACAAATGGCCAGTCAATGTAAGGAAAAGTGCCAGGTTCCATTAGTAATCAGTAAGCAGCTTAAGTTCACAAGGAGACTTCATCTCACATCATTGCGCCGCTTTCTTAACACTGAAGCTGCAAAGTTACCTCAAGATCTCAGTGTTTGCTTTTGCACTTTGGAAATAGTGCTTTCAAACCCAGCCTTGTCAAGTGGAAGGTTTTCACAAACTGGGCTGACATCTCCAGAGGCCTTTGCATTGAGTGAGATTCTGTAGGGCATTCAGCTCCTCTCCCACATTTTAAGCATCAACAGGAATGTTGTTTTTTTTTAAGTATTGCCACCTGCAGCCATCCTGGGCATTTCTTTCCAGAACGTGTTTTCAGTAAAATTACCAGATAAAACATCAAGAGAGCTATCTCTTCGGAAGAAGGACGGCTTTTATAAAAAGAGAGCCCTTCACGTCAAGAGAATGACCCTTCCTTAGGTGCTTGGCAGAATAATCTCACAGGCCCTCCTTCTCAGGAGCTCGAGGAGGCCTTAGCCTCTCCTCACGGAGATGGTGCTCATGAAATCCCAGCTGTCTGCCAAGTATTTAGACTTCCCTAAAGGGGTGGGGAAGGTGAGGGTTTTTTCTGTGGGGAGCACACAAAACTAATGTCAGGGATGAGCAGGTTGACTGACTCATTAGAAACGAATTATTTCTTCCCTGAAAACATATGAATTACCTTCCTTCCTGTGACTTTTAACTCGTCGCTGAAGAACGCAAATACTTTTGGACCATCCCAACAAGGAGAAGAAAGCTAGAATGATCATCTCCCCTGCCTCCACTGCTGGAGTTAGAGGGAAACTAGCTAGAGGTGCCTCCTCATGTTGAGCACAGAGGCACCTGAGGCTGGACAAGGATCTCCTTTCACCTGCCGTGGTCTCCAGCTTCTTTGCTTCTACAGGAACTCAGCTTTGTTCAGTCACCTTGATGGGACCTGGAAAACTTGACTCTTAGGAGAGGCGGATGCATACGTCAGGATGCCAATGTATTAATTTACAAAAATTTTAATAAATTAACAAAAACTATAATCCCCATGCTCCATATAAGGTTCACCTTTCCTGATATCTGAACACTTATGAAGCAGAATTCGCAGTCAGAATGTTACTTGGCGGGCATGGAAGAATCAAGGGCGTCTGAGGAGTCTCGATTCTACTCTTGTCAGCAGTTTGACACAAAGACCCTTTGGAAAGTCTGATTAAGTTAATAGGACATTTGCTTTTGAAAAATGCATACACTTCGAGGGCTTTGTGAACTCATTAATGCTGATCTCTAGACGCCAGACCTCTAAGCTGAGCCATGGCGAGTCTTGTTATCAAGTCTAACTTTCAAGAAGTTAAAAAGCATAAGCCTTTTTTCAACTCACTCATTAATGAGGAAATCCATAAGATGATGAAACTGTTCTCCAAGAGTATTTCAGGTTAAATATTGTCTTTTTCTTTCAACAAGACTAAGATTTCTAGAGACAAAATTGGTTAATGTCCTTTTCAGCAATAGATTATAAACTTCAGGGTTATCTTGGCTTAACAGACAGAAATCCCTGCATCATGTACAAGTTTAACATGTATAACTTCACGGAGTCTGAGCTCTTAATTCATAAATACTAAATAACCAAATCAACCAATGGTATATTCTTATAGGAAAATAAATTGTTTTTGGGTGGGGCCATTAAACACAGCTTCAGTATGCCACTGAGAGCCCTTGGAGTCACAATTTTGGACTTCTTGCCATATGGTGGATAATTTTTTCTTAATCAGTTCAAATAGCCTCCTGAGTTCACATTTCTAGAGCCTGACATATGCCCAAAATTTCTATTTGTCCCCCTTTGTCCCCTTTCCATCTCTGCATGCTGGCACATTCTTAACCTTGAAGTGTCAGCTCAAAACTCAGTCACTCAGAGATGCCTTCCCAGATCTCATTGTTCATACATGCGTTCCTCCAGTACTTTGCATCTCGGCACCCTCCTATAATCTCCCTTGCGGCATTTACCGTCATCCGTAATCACAGTGTTTGTCTTTTTACATGTGTATTTGACTCCTGTACTGAAATGCAAGTCCCAAGGTCCAAGGAAATGGAACTGGTTTATTTAACTCTGCATCCTCAGACCCTAAAGTAGTGCTTGGCACATAGTATAGTAGATGCTTAATAAATATCTGCATCCTGGATGGATGAGTGGGTGGATGCATGCCCATATTGACATTAGCTCGATCTTATGGAAGTCATCCTGGAGGTTTTGCTATTTGGCCTGCCCTTTTAAAGGCTCCAAGAAAAATATCCCTCTTATCCACTCACGTATATTGATATTATTGATTAATTTATTATTGCTATCATATCACTTTTGGCCTGGAACACTTTCTTTCATTCAACGCAAGTCTAAATTCATTATGGGAATTTTTTTCCTTATTGTCTGTCTTGGAGAATACCCTCACTGTGGCCCATTTATCATGATACCCTCGCCTAATAGTTTTCCCCCTCAAATTGTAACCTGTCTTTCCCTCCACCAGCCCTGGAGGGAAAGAAAAGGAAGGGAAGAGTCGGCATGAGGAGGAAGCCAACAGGGAAAGAGACTTCTTCAGGAATGAGGAACTGGATTGAAAAGTCACAAAAAGAAGAAGCAATATCTTGGCCTCAGAACCTTTTCTACAATTTACTTGTCCCTTTTTTCTCCTTTCCTTTTCCCTGGCAATTTCACGTGTCTAGCCAAATGCTATTGTTATTGACCACCCAGCGTGCCTGGTGCACTGTCATATAAAACAGCTTATGACAGCTATCCCAGGAAAGAGTAAAGTCACTAAATGGACTTGTCAGGAAGCATTACCTCCAGTTCATCTCTCCCGCAGACCAGCTTGCCCTCTTCATAAGCTCTCTGACAACCCACTTACCCCTGCGACTCCTCAAAATGAAACCGACTCTTGAAAGCATACGCTGTACCAAATCACAACAGACCTTCTGACAGGTCAGCATATAATCTAGAAAAATGTTTTTGAACTTGGGCAGGCATCGGATCTCCTGGAGGGCTTGTTAAAAACACAGATTTCTAGGTCCCAACCCCAGAGTGTCTGATTCAGTAGGTCTGGTCCAAGAATTTGCATTTCTCACAAGTTCCCCAGGGCATGCCAATGCTGCCTTCACATATAGAGAATCACTGATATTGAAGAAATAGTCAAGAGATCATCTCAACAACATGCCTCCCTTGATTTACTCATCTACACCTTAAAACTTCTCTATATCTGCACTTACTGTCTCCTTCTTTCCAAATCTAACTTCCTTATCTGCCCAATTCACTCTAAGTTCCATGGTACTCACAGGCTCTTCCGCAGCCAGTCACTGATACAAGTATTTTACAGCTAGAAGGAAGCTTGGGATAATCTCTTCTCTAGATCAGGGTTTCTCAATTTCACCGTTACTGACCTTTGGGCCAGATAACCCATTGCTGTGGGGGACGGTGCATTACAGGACATGTAGCAGCATCCCTGGCCTGCACCAACCAGATGCCAGTAACACCCCCCTAGTTGTGACAACCAAAAATGTCTCCAGACATTGCCAGATGTCCTCTGGGGACCAAACCACCCCTGGTTGAGAACTACTCTTGTCAAATGTATCTTTAATCTCCCCCTGTGGGGGTTTAAGGATGAAAATTCATTGCATCCCCTCCTGAGTTTTGTCCAATTGAGAAATAAAACTGAAGTTCAGAAACACAAAGATCATGTTGTCACTTCATTGCGGCTAAAGCTGGCCCCGGCCACGTAGGAAGGAATGTTCTCCCTGGAGAGGTTTGGGTTATGTGTGATTGACAATAACTGAGGAAGTTCATGTTAATCACAGGATGGGCAGAAAATAACAGTAAATGCCAGGTGGCCTTGCAGTGACATAATGAAGGTATGAAGTGTTCTCAATCTCAGATACCTATTGGGGAGCTTTAAAAAATATTAAATGCTACACCCCACCTCAGACCAATTAAGTTATTTCTGGCCAAATGAGGCCAAAGCATTAGAAATTTTGAAAAGCTCCCAAAGTGATTCTGATGCGCACCCAGGGTGGAGAGACGCTGTTTAACTAAATAGACTGAGAAGATTTAGTCCATTGTTGGATTTACTTTGTGGGCACTGAGGAGACAACACAAGGTCTCCCAGTAAGTTTCTAAAGACTTTCCCAGCCAACTAGTCTTCAGAATTCTGCTGATGTGTGAAGTTACATAAACTGATTATGAAGAACATAAAATATTTACAGGCTTCAGAGGAGGCTTCCTGGGAGAACTTATCATCTAAGCCAAGACCTTGAAGGTTTGTGAAAAGGGGCTGGAATTTGTGATTAATGGGCCCAAGGCTGCAGCATTTTAATGTGTTAGGGAAGAAGTCCCACGGCAGGATATAGAGTTGGCTATAAACTAGTAGGTAAACAGAACCTTAAGGAGTTTAGATTTTTATCCTGAGAGACACTAAGGAGTTCTTTGCAATAAAGTGACATGGTCATATTTGAATTCTTGGGATCAGTCCTCAGCCTATTTTGTGGAATTTTTATAGAATGGGGGTGGGGAGTGGCTAGAAGCAGGAGATCTGACTAGAAGTCATAGCTGTAATCCAGGTAAGAATTACTAGCCAGTGAGGGAAGACCAGAACTTGGTACCAAATTGGCTATTGGATAGAGAGAAGGGAAGAGGAATGTCTCAAGAATTAGTCCTTAATTCCTGCCTTGGTCACATGGGTGGAAAAATGGCACCATTCCTTAAGATCAGACCATTGAAGGGGCAGGAGTTTGGGGATGGAAACGATGAGTTCAGTTTTGTACTTGCTAAATTTAAGGTGTGGTTGGGTCACCCAGTGGGCAATTGACCCAGGATAGTCTCAGTTTTTAGCACTGAAAGTCCAACATCCCAGGAAGCCATCAGTCTTGGGCAAATCAGGAAGTTGGACAACCTGGCTGTTGCCTATGTGAGTTTGGCTCTCAGAAGAGAGAACTAAGGCTGGGGCATAAATATAAATCCTATCTAATAATAGACAAAGATTGAAATTAACCATACCTCCGCTACGCTTCCCATTGGCTAATCAGCAAGATATGCAAATTAACCACCAACAAAGATGGCAGCCGGCAGCCACACAGCTGAAGCTAGCAGGAGGCTTGCTTGCTCCAGTGATGGAGGAAGCCAAGGTTCCCCACCTGCCGCGGCCCGGCTCTGAGCTCCAAAAGCAACAAAGTTCCAATTATAGAAGCTTAACAAACCCCAGATACCTGCTTTTAGCAGGCCGTGGCCTCAGAGCTGGAGCAGCAACAAAGTTTCAATTATAGAAGGTAAATAAATCCCAGAATAAAAAAAAAAAGAAAAAAAGGAGAGGCTGGGAGCTTCAGTTGCTGGCTGGCTTGGCCAGCCTGAAAACCCTCAGCCCCTCATCCAGACTGGACAGGCACCCCAGTGGGGACCCCCACCCTGAAGGTGGTGTGGCCAGCCTGAAAACAGCCATCAGCCCCTCATCCAGGCTGGCCAGGCACCCCAGTGGGGACCCCCACCCTGAAGGTGGTGTGGCCAGCCTGAAAACAGCCATCAGCCCCTCATCCAGGCTGGCCAGGCACCCCAGTGGGGACCCCCACCCTGAAGGTGGTGTGGCCAGCCTGAAAACAGCCATCAGCCCCTCATCCAGGCTGGCCAGGCACCCCAGTGGGGACCCCCACCCTGAAGG